AGGGACTGCCCGGAGAGCCCGGACCCGATCCCGGCGGGAAGGGCGCGCACCGAGCTGATCCCGGCGGGAAGGGTACGCACCGACCCCCGCCCCCCGGGAAGGGTCCGCTCCGCCTGCTTTGTCTCCCCCGAATCGAGAGCGTGGTAAATGGGGCCTGTGCTTTCCGCAGTGAAGGGCTTTTAAGGTGCCTGCGTTTCCTCCCTGTGGTAGGAATGCACTTACAGAAGCCTCCGGCTGCTGGCTCGGACTGGCTGATGCTGCTGGGCTCAGCAAGAAGTGCCGTATTATGTCCCCTTGTGATCCCTTTTATGTCCCTTTTCTAGAGGAGCAGCGGCAACGTGGTTTGGACGAGTGGCTGGCATCACTGTCTTTCGATAACCCCGATTGTCCTGACCTGCAGCTGACCATGGGTGCAGTAATTGTGGAAGAAATTAGGGTGGCAGTGGAAGCAGCTACCGGATTCAGGTGTTCAGCTGGCATCTCACACAACAAGGTACATGCATCAGCCTGATTTCTTCTGGGTAGCAGAGTCAGAACATGCTGCAGATGTTCTATACTTACAAGTCTCCGTAGAAGACGAACCAACTTGGGAATGCCACCATGTGTGATCACACCTTCTGAGAAATTATAAGACATCTGGAAATGGGAGGAGTTGTTTCCTCAGATCTGTGGGCTGGGCAGTCAGCAATCCACTGATTTACTGCCTGGATTCCTGGTACCTAATGAGTGAGTTCACTAGGAGAAAAAGTGGCTTAAGTCTTCCAGAAGTGCTTTTTGTAGAAAAAACACAAGTGTAAAGCAGGTAATCTTCACCTTGAGTTTCAGGCAACAGTCACTGTAGCCAGTTTTACTGACACAAATTCCCAGCGACTCAGAGGCAGAAGAACACCAGACTGGGGCACTGAGGTGAGCTGGGTTGCTTTTTGTCTTTCTGGTGAGTCAGTGTTTACCCTGCTGGCCGTGGGGATTTGGGTGTTGCTCAGCCAGCTGCTGAGAGCAGCCACAGTAGCACTTGGTGCATGACAGCAGCTGCAGAAACAAACGGACTTTGATGCTGCAGCCTCAGAGGGTTTCCTGCTGGGTGACATGCAGGGTGGTTTACTGAGAGCATCCCTTTTGTTCTGCAGAAAAGTGGGTTATTTATACAGGTATGACTTTATAAAGGCAGGCTCTGACTTTAAAAAAAAGAAAAAGAAAAGAAAATGAAGACTAAATAAATGCTTTGGAGTTCAAGGAAGGTATCTTTCATCTTAGACTGCTGCAGAAACAGCTGGTACTACTGCCAGCTGTACACAGGGACTGGAATTTGTTCTGCACTGGCTCAGTTTGAAACTAGAGTAGACTGTGAGGTAGAAATGAGCTAGCTGAGTAAGGTCAAATGGTGTAGAAGTTTTTAGTGGAAGGTATGTTCAATTTGTCTTTTTCCTCTATTTAATCAAGAGTAAGAGAACTTCTGTGATATTCCTAGCAGCTTCTCCCAGCTTCCATTTTCTATGCCAGCATTTTTACCTTTTTTTGAGAGAGTAAGGACATTGTGATGTACTGTGGTATCTCTGTAGAATATCCCTGAAGAACTGTGTATCTGTAGCAGCAAGCACAGTGCAGAGATCACTACAGTGCAGAACACTGTGCTGTGCTTCCACAGCCAGCTGACCTCGGTGGGTACCAACCTTTTCTGAAGAATAAAAGGGATGCTCTCAGTAAATCAGCCCGCCTTTCACCCAGCAGGAAACCCTCTGAGGCTGCAGCATCAAAGTCCGTTTGTTTCTGCAGCTGCTGTCATGCACCAAGTGCTGCTGTGGCTGCTCTCAGCAGCTGGCTGAGCAACACCCAAATCCCCACGGCCAGCAGGGTAAACACTGACTCACCAGAAAGACAAAAAGCAACCCAGCTCACCTCAGTGCCCCAGTCTGGTGTTCTTCTGCCTCCGAGTTGCTGGAAATTTGTGTCAGTAAAATTTGTTACAGTGACTGTTGCCTGAAACTCAAGGTGAAGATTACCTGCTTTATACTTGTGTTTTTTCTACAGAAAACTCTCCCAAGGAACTGCTTTTCCCAATGAAGTACCTTGCTAGAGTACACCTTGCTAGTTCCTGGGCATTCTTTCCCAGGAACCTGCTTTACACTTGTGTTTTTTCTACAGAAAACTCTCCCAATGAACTGCTTTTCCCAATGAAGTACCTTGCTAGAGTACACCAGGAACCCAGGTGATGAATAAGGCAAATAAATTTGGCAGCACTTGGAGGATAATAGCATGTTTTTCTCAAGAACCACTCATGCCAAATTCATTTATGTGCTGTCTTTGACAGCACAAGTGGCCAAATGTGCAGTAAATACTACAGTTGTGAGGTGTCAACCTTAAGATTTCTAACGCTCCTCACCCTGAGCTCAATAACCTGATGATGACACTGTAGCAGACAACATGACTGAAGTTGTCTGAAGTTGTCATGCATCTAGCTGAAGGAAATAGTACTGTTTCCCATAATGATTTTGTTCAGTGAGTTGCACTCAAATTGGGATGTTTAGAGTGGGATCCTGGGAAGATCTGTCTGAGGTCTGCTAAAAGCAAGTATTTTCACTGAAGCAAACAGAGAGGGAACAGCTGTATGAATTCAGGTGTTTCACATATGGGGCTCAGGACCTGGGCTGTGAAAATTCTGAGATGAAACTAGAGTTGAAAATTCTGAGGTTGAAAAAGGTTAGAATCGGTCTGAAATCACCAAACAGTGCTTCTTATGCTCCTCTTATGCTGACTGTTTTCATGGTTTATAAAAACAACCAGCATGATTTTGGCTAAGTCACAGTAAGTCAGGAAGTAGCCTGGAGTTGTGGACAAGCAGCAGGATGAGTCAGTAATATAAGTGCTCTTGTAGAAATGCCAAATCCTGTTTCAGCATGTTCCATTTACAGAAAGTGTCAGAAAAATTAAATGATTTCTCCGTATGAAGTCTCAGTGATTGGTTTGGCTTGCATCACTTTATGAGGTGGGTAAACTTGGAAGTCTCCAGCCAGACAAGAAAAACAGTGATTGGACATCTGAAAAGGAATCTACTTTCTCTAGAAATGAGTTCAAGTGTATGTAAGCCTGTAAAATGGACCGTTGATAAGGATCATAGCTCAATAGGCAGGCAAGAAATTTTGCTTAGTTACAGGATGTGTGGCAAAGCAGTGAAAGAGGAAGTTGTTAGAGTTGTTCAATAAAACCTCAAACACCCAGCTAAACGTACTTCAAATTGGTCTGTGTATTTTTGACCCTGTGGTAGCTTAGAGTGGAAAGGGAAGCTGTATAGGAGAACATGTCTTCCAGGCTAGCAATTCTGCATTTTAAAGGTTTCCTTTTGCAGCACTATGCTAAAGTGCTGTCTATAGAAAGACCTCATAGAGAGAAGATTAAAATAGTGATGCTGAGAAAAAGCAAGACAAACACAGAAAATGAAGGGAAAAGACGTAGTGAGAGACATAGCCTGGAGAAGACTATGGGTGTGCTGTGGAATCTCTAACATGTTTGCCTGATGGAAAACTATAGCTCTCACAACAGATGATAGACCTTTTTCTGCCTGGAGTAAGAGTCCAGCAATTCACAGAACTAAAGCCTGGAAGCAGCTTTGCTTTCAGAGTACCCAGCTAGTGCATGTCAAATCCTGAGGTGGATACTGCCTAAGAGCAAGCAGTGGTGCTGGGTGCATTCCTAGCAACCATTCCAAAGACAGCTCTTAGAGGTTATGCAGTGCAAGCTGTTAGGTAGAGTCACATTAGGCCAGTACATGGTATATAATAACAGAGTTTCCACCCTCTTCTGTTTTACAGACACTGGCAAAACTGGCCTGTGGCTTGAACAAGCCCAACCGCCAGACACTGGTGTCTGCACGGTTTGTGCCGCAGCTCTTCAGCCAGCTGCCCGTCAGCAGCATGTAAGTACCAGGGAGCTGCTGCTTTAGCACAGCCCGGGGCTGCTCCTGGCCACCTCAGCACAGCAATTTGATGCTCACTGATAGCAGCTGGCAGAAGCCATCAGAGGCTCTCAGCTCCACAGTAACTGCTCCTAATGAATAGAGGGAACCCTGCCAGTGATCCCTCACAGCTGTGAGTGACAGTTCAGGGGAGTGTGCTTGGGAAGTTGTAGCCCTACTGGTGAAGGGACCACAATCCAGAAGCCTGCTAGCAGCCTGTGAGCATTCTTTCCCAGGGTAAGCCTATGCTCAGGATGACTGCTGGGGTGCACAGGTATATGCCAGAAGCAGCTGTGGGCCATAGCTATTCCCCAGTGTGAGTGACAGATGTGCTCACAGATAACAGATGTGGTTTGCTCTTGAGCATTCACACTGTGCACAAGTACTTTTCCTGGTGTAGAGAAGTGTTATCAGCACCACTGCTCCAGAGGAATGGAACCCTAATCCTGCTGTACAGACCTGTGCTGCTGTTCTCTGCTTTCTGTCTCTTGCAAGGGATGGAGAGGGATGTGTGTGGGAAAGGGTCCTATCTGTATAGGAAGAAGGAAGCTGTATGTGAGGCATTCTTCAGAGCATGGTTTGGATCAGCTAGAGCTCAGAGTGAAGCACTAAAATTGGGGGACCCAAGGAGCAGTTCCTTCATCAACTCTTATGTGTCTTTTTACTATAAGCAGAAGAGCTGTTATGTGCTAAGTGTTCCTTTGGTCCTGCTAGTTCCTAGCAGCTTTCAGCTGTCCTCATCTAGGAATAGCTTCTGCAATGAGACTTGTCAGTCTCCACATGATGCTTCATTTGTGTTTTCTCTTCTTCTTTGTTTCTGTGCCTTAGCCGTAACCTGGGAGGCAAGCTTGGCACTGCTATCACAGACATCCTGGGAGTAGAGTACATCGGGGAGCTGACACAGTTCAGTGAGACTGAGCTCCAGACACATTTTGGAGACAAAACTGGGTAATGATGAACCACTCACCACAACTTGGCTCTTGACAGGAATGAAGAGTTCCTTTCAGTCACAGAACCTTTTAGGTTGTTCTGCTGTGATTAGGAAGGTTGGAAGGTAGAACTTCATTGGCATCTTTAGGAAGCATTGCTCTGTTGGGCTCACAGCAGGTTTCCAGTCTTGCCTGCTCCCAGGCACCCTCCCCAGGATAATATTTTTCTTGTCAGCCAGTGCCTCAGTCTTCCTCTACAGCATCCAAGAATGGGATCAAAGGGCTAATTCTCTGCAGGCTGGGAAGAGAGCAGCCTTGACAGACTCATCACAGAGGAAATTACAAGGCTGGGCTGGAGCCTGAAGCACAGCTTCTGGGCCCAGAACAGTGGTTGGACTGCCCTGCAGACTGGTGAACTGTTGCCACTTCAGGAGAAGAGGTGGAGGAGTTGTGCTGACAGGCAGTTGTGGCCTGAAGGAATCCTGCCTGTTCAGCTGTGGCTGCAACTGTAGTGCTGGGGATGAGAGACAGCTGACAACTGAGTTGAACGCATGGTTCAGCAGGAGACTGATGTGCTGCCCAGTGATGCCTGCCTGTCTGTAGCTGCCTTACCCTCATGCTTTCCCTGTGGCTTTCAGGTCTTGGCTCTATGACTTGTGCAGAGGAATTGAAGAGGAACCTGTAAAAAACCGGTACCTGCCCCAGTCTATTGGCTGCAGCAAGAACTTCCCTGGGAAGTCAGCCCTGGCCACACAGAAGGCGGTAGGAGAAGCCTACATCTAACATAAGGCTTGGCTTTCACACTGGAGAAGATAAGAATACTAGAAACTGAGACTAGCTTGTGAAACTGCTGCTTTTCTGCATAATAGAGGCTAAGTGGGAGAAGGTGGTTTCAGCTCTGGAAGTTCCTGTTGACAGATATGCATTGGCAAACTCCTGCACAAAGACGTCCATCCTAGTTGTAATTTCCTTAAGCAAAACTGGCCCTGTGCTGTTTGAAAGTTATTCACAGTGCCAAGCTTCAAGAGCATGGTTGCTAGAAGGAAGGTAACTAGCCCAAAGAAAGAAGCAGGATGTGCTTTAGCTGTTAGCTGGGGTGAGGTTCCCACCAAGTTGTAGGAAGATGGAAAGAGAAATCCAGGATAGGGAACCTAGATTACCTGGAAAAGTCTAGTAGTAACACTGCAGGGCTTGTATGCAGTGTGGAATCTTAGCTGGACTGATTTCTCAAAGTCTGTTGCAGATTGAGCGCCTTACAATACTCTGTCCACTCCAGTCTGATCCCCCACCAGCATTACCCAGTGTGCAGAGCATTGCTCTTGTATTGTGGTACTGCTGTGAGCAGAGGCCCAACCTGTCTGCTACCCTTGCTTTGTCCAGGTGCAGCACTGGCTCCTGCAGCTGGCCTTGGAGCTGGAATCCAGACTGAACAAGGACAGGAGCCAGGTAAGGAGAGGAGGCACAGGGACCCAAGGAGGCACATAGTACGTTTGCACCATGAGTGGTTTGCAGGAAGCTGAGGGTGGTATGTGGGAAGGGAAGAAATCTGCTGACCCACAGATATGTGCCTGTGTGCTGAGGTGTCCCAAGTAAAGAGGTGTGTGGGAGCATGGCCAGGCAGGATGGTTTTCACCCAGAACACTACAGGGTTAAGAACAGTCCTTGTCCCATGCTTTAGGATGCAGGGATTTGAAAGCCACTGCACCTTCCTTCTGCTGGACTAGCTGCTTCCCATGTGTGGGATGTGTGGCACAGCTGTACAAGCACTTGTTGTGTATCCCATCCCTTGGCAATCACACCAGGCAGGACATGTTGTCCCACC